TTGCACTATCGCTTCAAGCAGGAGGAAGAGATTGGTCGTGTCATGCACCTTTTGTCTGAACTTGTTTGTGACTTTTTCATCAAGGTGCTTCCCAGGTGGGTTCTTAACCATTCGATCTTGTGGGAAGAGTTTATGATTTTGGATCCAATCACAAATCTCCCTGTTTACAAGACTTCAGAGGATGCCTTATATGCAGAAGAGGATCCAGAGAAGTATCATACACATTTTGCTATGAACTTCAAGAAATTCCGTTTTTCTGCAAGAGTTGTGTGGTATTTGATTGACCGTGACAGGAATCATTTAGAGAGTTTTCTTCACAACTCCAACAGCAGATTTGTGCAACATGCATGCTATCAACTTCGTGAATATGTTCAAGCGCGTGTTGCAGTTTCTGATCCCTTGTATGAGATGATCAAGAAGGAAGAGTTTGAACGCCAATACAATTCCAAGTTTTTGGAGGCGATTTCTTGCTCTCGTGTTGTAGTTGAGCCTGTAAGTTCAGGGACGTTTGAGCCATCATCGAAGCTGAACTTAAAGGCACTACAAAACATCCTGAAGGGTGTCTACAAGATCCAGAAGGATGAGGAGCGTGCCAGAGAACGTGAGGAAGAAGAAGAACAGGCAGCTCAAAACATCTCAAACTTGATGGCAGATGATATGGAGCTTGATTTTGATGATGACAACGTGCCAGTATGGCGCTCCATTGTCAACAAGTATAGAGAAGGTGATCAGGTGTTGCGGGGAGAAGCAGTGAAGATTACTCATCTTTACAAGGATAAAAAGGACAATGAGAAGGCAACTGAGTTTTTCAGTTCAGAAAGGACAGATTTTTTATGAGACCTCAGATTCTCTTCCAAGAACCAAGGAAGAAGATTTTATAGAAGACTTGCTCACCAAGGATGTTGCAGAACAAGCTTTTGAGGCAGGTGAAGAAGTTCCTCCATACACAAGAGTCTCCACTATCACTGGTGGAATCTATACTGGTAGTATGGTGCTTGTGGAAGGTGAAGATATGGAAGAGGAAGTCCCTGAAGATGATCCTGCAATGGAACTCGAGAAAGATGAAGAAGTTTTTGATGAGAATGCAGGTGCTTTTCCTTCAGAGGAACTAAAGATGGAAGTGGACCAGGAGGAAGCCAAGGATGAGTCAGCGCCACACTTTCTGTCAAGAGAGATAGGTGAGGACTCAGCTGCATCGCACTTACCATCAGGTGAGAAGGATGCTAACCTTGATGATACTCCAAGTCTGCCGAAATCTAAGAGAAGCCGCCTGAATAAAATTCCTGATCCTCATTTTCACGAAGAAGTTCAGGATGATGCAACTTTTGAGGAGAAGAAGAAGGCGGTGGAGAAGATAAGAGAGGTCAGAGAGGATGATGGAGAGAAGAAATTGGAGGCTGAGATCCAAGAATCTTTTTCATCTGAAGTAGTTGCTGATAAGGATCCTGTGGATGCTAACAATACCTATGAGTTGCATACCTCACCTTTGAGGTTGCTTGGAGAGCGTACAGGAGATCCAGGTATTGGCTTTTATCAACAATGCTTCAGGGAAACTCACGCGAGATTGTTGAACCATGTTTGTTTCAGAGAAGGTGAGCTTTCCCATCCTCACTATCAGTCAAGGATCAACGAGAACGACTTTGTTCGATCCATTCGAAAGGTCTGTCTAGTACCTCCACCTGATTGTTATGAGGACAGCCGCGAGCATGACCTGAAGAGATTTTTCATCAATGATGATCGCATCGTTTATTTGGATGACAAGTATCAGGTCGATCCAAGGGCCCTTGAAAGGGCAGAACAAGCTCGAGAAGATTTGGAGGTCACAAAGGAACAGTTTAGAGGAGAACTGGAATTATATGGTCCCAAGGGACCCAGTTGGGACTATGTCGCCTTCTATGAAGAGCTGTGCCAAAGGTTCCTCAAAGGAAGAATAGAAGAACAATATGGAACTAATTTATTGGCCAGCTCAGAGTCCTTGACATTTTTATCCTGGAACTATGGCAACATGGTTCGTGGTCAGAAATACACCACACCAAAGTTTCTCCAAGGACTTGATCGTGCAATGAAGCCATGAAAGCAGAGCGCCATGTCACTTCAATATGAGCAATTTGAAAACAACCTTTTCTTCAACGTGCTCTTCTTTTTACGCGCACATGTCGTGATTCTCCAGGAAGCTCAGCTCCTTGTTCCTGCCAAGGAATTTATTGAGCAAAAGAATTGGGCAGTTTGTTTCAATGATTGGGAGAATCTTGCAGTGATGGCTAGATTGGCACCAGATGGCTATATCAAGATCATTGCTGGACATGACCAAGACCTTGGTCACTGTCAACAACGTGATGTAACTTGGGCTATCTATGAGATTTGTTTTGGAGAAACAAGGCCTCGTCAGGACTTCAAGGATGCAGACTATGAATTTGAGGACTATGGTCCTAAGGACCAGCGTGTTCCACTTACTCGAGCGAACATGCATACTATCAGAGTCTGTAATTATCATGTTGACACACACCGTGCTGTAGATGCCCACCTATTGACAGGAGAACAGACAGCATTGATGCTTTATGAATGTTTTGTATATGAGGTGGACATCATTTCTGGTGATGCAAATAGTTTGGCCTACAGAATGTCTGGATACAAAAGGCAGCCAATGGCTAACTATTATTACAGCACCATGCAGCATTGGATCCGCAGGTTTTCAGAAGCCCGTGTAAAAGCAGATCCTGGTATCAAAGCACCTATTCCCAGAACATTTTACAGTTCATCTTCACATGTCCTCAAGCAGTGTGAAGCTTACTTTGAGAAACTCTGGGAGGAATACTCTACAGAAGACAAGGAAATATACCAGGGATCAAAGCTTGGCGATACTTGTTTGTCTACCATTGTTGAATGGGGTCATTCAATGAGTGAAGAGGAATATACAAATTCCACAGTGAGCACGAAGGAGTTCATCTGTAATTTTTCAGAGAACTTTGCTCTGATTGACACGGAGGTTATGTGCTCCAGACCCTCTGACGAAGACAGTCATGGTCCAATGTTTATTTCACTCAGACCAGCTTCCTTTTCATCTGGAGACAGAAGACTTTATCGCTCGGGCGAGACTCTTCGAGATGCTAACTTGCGGAGGAAGGAGAGACAGAAAGAGAATAAAAGGAAAGGAAGGCCGCCAACTTCTGATCAAGCAGCTCCATCGACTGCAGCGGCATAAAACTCAGAGCGGAGGCTAACTTTTAATGATAGCTAGGAAGTGAAGATACTTCTGATCACAGTTGATACTTTGCTTCCAGGCTTGACTTTAAGTTGCCAGGCTGAAGTTTTAATGAATTCTGGTTTGCAACAAGGAGAAACTTTTTGTCAAAGAAGATACTCCTGCATTCCAGGTTTATATGCTTTAGCATGCAGATAAATACAGTTTACTAAACGGTTATTATCTGCAGGTAGGTATGGACAGTTTTTCAGAACTGATGATAACTACCACAGCCGCTCTTTTGAAGTGACCTCTAATGGACAACCATTTATGGTTGATGATTAAGTCATTTCATAAGTTTGCATTTGTAGTGCAAGTTTTGTACATACATTTGCCGGTGTGTCCTTCCTTTTTGTTTTTGATGTCAATGAGAGAGAGTCCTTTTGATGCAGTTTAATTTTGTGTAAGTCCTGTGTATGGAAGCGGCCGAGACCACTTTTCGAGAAGACCATTCCTCGGACCGAGAGTTGACGCTCCTTGCATTTTGCAAGGCATCTTAATTCATTGCATTTTGTGCGGTCTTGAAATTTTAGTTCTTCGTTACGCGAGTGTCGTTTACTGCTTTTACAGGTCTCTGTGTAAGAAAGCCGCTTTCCTTTGAATTTATAGTTTCTTTGAAGCTCTGGCTATTTAAGGGCTATTGAGCGCCGGTACACGGTATCTTCGCCGGTGAACGATACAGTCTCCAGCCGAGATACATTGTCTTTGACTTTGTATTTGAGGTGAGTCAGCTATTGCTCCCTCACTGTATTTAGTATACCTTGAGATTACCTTTTCTAAAGTGTGCAATACACTGGAATTGGTAAGTACAGGGCACCATGGTTTCCTTTTTAAGCTTACTAGAGCTTGCTGGACTGTTTTAGCCTTGCGAATTTTGTGCCTGCTGAAATGTAGAGGCCCACTTGTACAGGTTCCACTCCAGTGGCCTATCTAGTGTGTCCATGCTTGACTGCCATAAGGCTCAAGAGGATAAGACTCTGCGCATAAAAGACACTAGCGGTCTGCACCTCAACCGTGTACGCCCTAGTCACTCTTTCACCCCCCCCTCCCCACCTCCCCTCTCCTCCTCGTTGTCTTCCTCCCACCTTCCCTCCCTCCCTCCCTCCCTCCCTCCCTCCCTCCCACCTTCCCTCCCTCCCTCCCTCCCTCCTTCCCTCCCTCCCTCCTCCCTCCCTCCTCCCTCTTCGCAAGTTCGACTCCGTCCTGTCGTCGCTCTTTGGCATGCGGTTAGCGTTGCCTATCTTGCGGCCACACTCTCACTCTCACTTTCACTCTCACTCTCACTCTCACTGTCTCTCTCTCTCTCTCTCATCTCTCTCATCTCTCCCTCATCTCTTTCTCATCTCTCTCTCATCTCTCTCTCTCTCCTCTCTCTCTCTCTCTCCTCTCTGTCTCTCGTCTTTCCGTCTCTCTTCTCTCTCTTCTCTCGCAGGAGGATCCGGGCAAAGAGCCACATATAAAGGACTCTTCACCGGGAATCGTTTGCCCCGCCCAACTTGTGCAAGGCGTCCTGCCTTCTGCTACTCCCCGCAGACTTCCGACAGTCCGCTCTGCAGGTGGATCTTTGCGATGCCACCGCGACGTCTCCTTGATTGCCTCCAAAAAGAGCGCCGTGTTTTTTCCTACCTCGCTGCCCTCCACTTTCCCATTCTGGAGCGCTAGCTTTCGCCCCCCCCCCTTGGCCTCAAGTATATATATATATATATTGTTCTTCTGTTGTTTACTTTTCTCGACCTTTCTTTTTTGGGCGAACGGTGAGGTTGAAGCTGTTGGTTTCCACGAAGACGTCCCAGCTGGCGGGGGCGACCGCGGACGAAGAAGCGCAGACGCCCCAGGCTGCGTTGTTGGGGGTTCGCCGCGAACCCCGTTGGCCGCAATGGATTGGTTACTTGATGTTACTTGTAGGGTATCTCAAGTGGTGCAGAATTCATGTTATACACCGAGGTCGCCTTGGTTGGATTGGATTCTTCCAACCTCTCTCCCCGGTTGGTCTCTGGGTGGTGTCCTCGATTCATCTCATAGGCATTGAGATTTCTGCAGTGGATTGTGTGCATCGTTTTGGCCAGATGGCACGTTGAATCTCGAAGTGCAGAGATACTGAAGGAGCCTGTAAAAACCTGGAAGAATGTGATTCTCATTAAAACAGTCACAAGGGGGACAGAGGCGACATGCAGTTCTCTTGTTTCCGAAAGCGACAGACCACTTCCATCCCACCGGCCATTGGACCAGGCGGCCTGGAACGCCGCCACCCACTTTGGAAGGTGGCACGGCGCACATCAGGCGCAAGCTGCAGTCTCCATGCGCTCAAGAAATAGCTACATCCCAACAGATTGGCCCTTGGCCGAAAGGAACCAAGAAATGATGAAGCCTTGAGAAGCCTTGTCACTTTGCTTTCACCCACACACAGACTCGATTTTTTTCAATGTTTTTACCGTAGGTGCAGAAAGGAGATGATGGTGGTGGCTTGAGCCTTCAGCAAGATGACATGCGATTGAACGACTCGCAGTTTCGGGCTCCACACACGGGGATTCTCTACACACCGCCGAAGCTCCTTGGAGCTGGCTGGGACTGTCGGACAGGAGTCATGAGAAGCACCCAGGGGCGAAGTATTTTTTAAAAGGCAGGAGTCATGTTCTTTTGGGGTTTTGGTTTTGACCTTCCTCATGATGCGGACTGGTCCCTCCTTGCAACGGAGAGAGTTGGCTTGCACATGAAGGGACTGCAAGCTACAAATCATGCTCTGAGAACCGTTTGCCGTGTTTGTCTTGCTAAGGTATTCAGATCATGTGCCGGTTTCTGCAGTCTTTGAAGGCGTGGAGACCCATTGTGTTTGGAATGCTGGTGCGGCAGGAGGTCAAACCACAAAAGCCAGAGCCACAACCAAAGACGCCGGATTTGGCGGAATGCGAAGTGATTGAGTTTCAATGCGCTCATGGCAGCAATGGATCTATTATTTTAAATGAATCGGTGTGTACTGGGAAGACATCGCTTCTCCCCTTTCAAACGGCAACGGCTTTTCCACCAAAAGGAACCAAAAGGTCCTCGGGCAATTCTCTTCAAGGTGAGAGCCAGGATCCCAGTTGAATGGATTGAACTCCTTCGAGGAAGGGAAGAACATCATGAACCAATCCATGAAATAGCTGAATCTGGAATCTTCCAAACCACTGGAGCCAAGTAGGAGGTATCCTTTCTCCTTCTCCATCTCCCTTTTCTCTCTTTCTGAATATTTGGATGTCTTCCTTTCTCAGGTCGTTCTTATCGATTTCTTCCTTTGAGAGTACTCCCATCCACGTTCAGTCCATCCCCTGCGCATCCCCTGCGCCTCGACTTCCGACCGAGGCCTCGACTTGGCGCCACAGGCAAGTGTCTCGGTCCCGGTCCTCATCGGATCGGAGGACACTCGAGGCACACAGCCGTGGACCTCGCAAGCGACGCTGGGGAGCTTTTTCGTGCCCTCGAAGAGGCCCAAGAGGTCCTGACACACACATTGGGCGTTCGCGCGGACGTTCTGAGCGGCTCGGCGTTCGGTCCAAGCGCGGGCGTTCTGAGCGGTGCCCGTCCTGGCTGAGAGGTGTGGCTCTCTGGAGCCAGAAGTGCCGCGTTGGACTGGGTTAGCAGTGCTGGGGTTAGCAGTGCTCGACATGGCGCCGGGAGTCTATCGCCATGTGGTGAAAAGGCGTGACTCCGGAAATCAACGCGTTGGTAGTCTTTGCAGTCCGCAGTCAAGCCGGCGAAGCGGTCCGCAGATTGTTTGATAGTACTAGCGATGGCAGAATACAACGGTCTTAGTCTTTGAAGAAGAAACTTCAAGTTTTGACTTGTGACTAAGATATTCTTAGTGTTTTGCAAGCATCCTTTTGCTGGTGGCTTTGGCTCAAAAAACTCTGTGGTTCTTCGGCTCCCAGATTTTTTGAACGTGGTGTGCCGTCCTCTCTGCCGTCCGAAGCTTAAGATGCCCGGCTTAAAATGTTGATCCGGTGTCGATGCTGCTAGGATTGTGCAGCCGTGCAGCACTGTTTCTCTTACAGAAGAATTGAGTGATATGCGATATGCTCCATTGTTTCACTTAAAATGATTTGTTCCAGACTAACAGCCATGAGGTGCCCAAGGCAGCAAGCTGCCGTGCATGACACTGTTTAGGCCGGGGCTGTTTGCAGCACCAAAGAGTTGGAATGGACACCTAAGTGAAGTGGTTCCTGCAGGCTGCCTCGGCGTCCTTCAATCTTGCCATGCTGCTTGCTCCTGGTGGCGCTTTGTACCATTTATGAAGGACTCTAGACTCTAGACTGGATGGCCATTCACGTGTACACCAAATCGATTTCACGTGTACACGAAATCGATGAAGTCGACACATTCGCGTTCGTGGGGTTTGCTCAAACAGGCTTCAAAACGAACGCCGGTTTCATGTCTACACTCCGTTCCCGCGAACGGTGCTGCACAAGGTGCGAACGGTTGGAGTTGGAGAGTCAAATGTTTCGGTGGCTGCACTAAATGCAAAGGCGCAGTGTTGCACTAAATTCTCTTCCGGTGTTGCACTACAAATCCTGTGCGGATGTCTCCCTTGCGTATCTGGCTAAAGCTTGGGCCTGCTTCAAAGCTCAAGTGCCCCAAGCCCCGGTCCCGCCATGTCGACGTTCCGCATCAGCCGCCATGCCGCTGCTGCCAAGAAGGCAGTGGAACGCATGGGCAAGTGCAAAGCGTGGCAGGTGTATCTCTTCACTTTCTGTGATGTGTTGTCGCACTTGATGGTGCTTCTTTTAGCATGGGTGTCGACTGCCTATGTAATCATCCCGTATTTTGCCCTTCACTATGCCTTGGCTGCCTTGCGAGCACCCGACCTTTTGGATCCCTTCAAACGCCCCATCACTATGCTGACGCCGCAGAAGGCTTCCGCCTTCAAATTGGGAGGAAAAGATGAGTCCTGGTTTGGTGGATGTGGCTTCTACCTGGTGAGCTATGCGATCCGCACCTTGGTCTTCTTCACCATCAACGCCGTGGTTCTGACAAACGGACCAAAGAAGTCGACTGAACAGGCAACGAAAGAGATGTGCACGCGCTCAGACATTGACTGCGAGAGATTGCCCAAATGGCTGCAACAGGAATGTGCAGTGGATCCAGAGGTGTATTTCTCTTGCTTTCAGAAGGTTGGATGGTATCTAAGTGCCAGCTGCAATACCAGGGCGGCACAGTGCAGCTTGCAGGCTGACAAGAGCTTTGAAGTCATCCTAGAAGAGATCTTATGCTTTGTCTTCATGTTCGTCCTTCCCTTCGCGGCTTTCCTGTTGGCCGGTGTTGGGTGGCTCTGCTGGATACCACAGAAACTCTGCTGTGACGCGGACGACACATTCGCAGAACGTGTCCTGAAAGATGAAGAGTTGCAGTTGTCAGAGACGGCCTCAGCCCCTCCATCTGCGATGCAGAGAGCCTCGGTCACAATGGAAGTGGCCTTCTCTTTCATAGACGTCTTGTCTGATTTGAATTGCATCGTCGCCTATGTCTTGACGGGCAACCTGATGTTCGCTGCTTGTGCACTGATGATTTTCCTAGGGTCCTTCCTGCAAGAAATTTATGGTGCTGGTGTTGGGGATCTTCTGGAAGCTTGCAGGGATTCCATGGCCACTGGCCAACTCTCTGACAGATATTACTACATCACTTTGCCCGAAAAGGTGTTTGAAGCGCCACTTTCACTCTTCTTGCAGGTCTACACCTTTATCTTCGTCATGGATTCACCCTACGCAGGACTCTCCTTCATTGGCTCGATGCTCCTGAGCCTTCGCTCGATCACAAGGATGGAATACGAATTGCTGCATTTGGACTTGATGGAGATCGTCTTGGACACCGGTGCAGGCACGCCTGCCGATGCCACAGCCGATGCCATAGGTGACCTGGGCGCTGAGCCATAGGTGACCAAAGGAGGCCAAAGGAGTCACCGGAAACCAACTTTGATCTTTGATGTGAAGGACTCCACCCAAAAGAGTGGCTTTTTCGTGTTTTGCGGCTCATTTTGCCGAATTTGGGGGCGATGGTTTCCCCACCGTGCCGCATATTTGATGTCGATTTGTCTTGCTAGCTGTGGCCACTAGCTCATCCACACAGGGGGAAGTGTGTTTCTTTGGCATTCCTTTCATCTCCGGGGTGATCCATTCTTACACAAGGTGGAAGGTTAGGCAAGGGCTTTTTGCAGTTACCACCTGCACATACCATTTCGAAGATCTTCTGATTCTTCTCCACCACGGTATGGCCTTGTTTTGCCCGGCCTTTCCTTGTTCCCAAAGCCGCGAAACCCAGGAGCTGCGGCCTTCGCGGGCGCCGCCGCCGCCTCAGTCGAACCCGGACGACCGACGGACGGAGGTCGGTCGCCGAACCGAGGCGCCGGCAGCGAAGTGGCAGGACCGGGGGGGGAGGTGAGTCGGGACCCCGGTGGGGTGGCTGGATGGTCCCCTTTTCTTTTTTGGGCGGCGGGGGATCTTTTGGGCGGAACACGGATGAGATCTCAGGTGCTGACCGTGAGGATCAACATTCAACTAGATAAGAGGTTCAACATGCTTGAGGAGAACGCCCGAGTTCGACCTGAGATTCGATTGGATACGAAGTGTCATTGTAACTGCTTTGTCATCAAAAGGGCCATATACTGTCTATATCGATTATACACAGTAGTCACCCATTTGACCGGACCGCTTTGCAGGTCTTTTTTTCGTGACCGAACATTTCCGTCCCAATGACCGGACCGAGTCGTCGGGTGGGGCGTCCAGGGCCGACGTCTCCGTGGCGGTCTCGGCGCCCTGGGAGGCGTGAGGAGAGACGGGCGGGTCGGGGTGATGTGCTCCGAGACCGACCCGTCGGCGATTCCACGACTGGAAAGACTCCAAGGGTCCGACTCAGGGCTGGTGACGTTTGCGAAGGACAAAGCTTGATTCTGAAGACTCCACTTCTGGGGCTTTTGAGCACTTGCACCAGCTCGCGTGTCCGCTCGCGACGGCTCTGCCGTGAGGTCTGGCAGATCAGGGCAGTTTGGAAGGTCGGCAGCCTGGAGGATGGTGAGTCACAACCCGACCCACTGGACCGAACGACGGCGTTGGGGTATCCGGGTAGGTCAACCTCCGGTGTTTCGTTTCAAGCAACAAAGTGCCTTGTGCACTGTGCACATCCTCATGTTGGAACCATTCTTGTCATTACTCTGATGGTTGCCCCAAGGTTTTGACCCACAGCCATTCATTTAGTGCTTTACTAGTATTCTTAGTTTCCAGTCTTCTCCATTGCCTTTTCCAAGGTGCCCAGATGCTTCTTGCTGACGAGTCCGGTGACACACTTATACAAACCAGTTGCCACTTTCGAGGCTCCAAAGACCTTTTGCCACTATCTTCATAACATGGCTGCATAGCTCCAAGCCTTGTGTGGCCGTGCCCAAAAGGCCGCCTTGCAGTGCACGAAACGGCTCTGCATGAAACGGCGCTGCCGACCACCGTCCTCAGGCTTCCCATTCGCTCTAGCGATCGGAGCGGTGCTGCTGTGCCTTGGCCGAAAGAAAACGACACCTGCGCGGTACCGCGACCGGCACCGACCGGCACAGCGCAGGGTGGCGGGTGGGATCTTCTTGGCCCGGGAGCTCGGGAGAGTCGGAATGCGGGTGGCGAAGAACACCTGGGGCAGGCAGCCATTGGCCATCACAGAGAGAGAGAGAGAGAGGGGTGGGGGGAGGGAGAGCAAGGAGAGCAATAGTTCTTTTCTTCTATTCTTGTTTTACTAACTGCTTCACCGGGGGGTCAAACACCGGGCCTCGTTGTGACACAGAGAGAGAATATTGAGACACTCGCTTTTGACACTCGTTTCTTGTGAATGACTTGTCAATGTCACACGAGCGAGTGGAGTGGACCGGCCCGCCGCGCCACCGCGCCTCCGCTGCGCACAAGGCCACCTCTACAAAGGAGCGCGCGGATGGAGCCAAGGAGGAGGAGAGCGCACCAGTGGCTCCGACTCCAACCGTTCAACAGGTCGTTCATGTGGGTGTTGTAAACGGCCATTGCAAATGACCAATCTCTAAAAAGTGCGGGACCATTTTTGTGAATGGTTCGATCACTGTCAGTGTTTGCCAGCTTTCGCCAGTGTCAAACCAGCCCCTTCACATCTTTCCACTGGAACCACCCGCTCTGCCTGGTTGGAGGTGGGCAAAGAGGAAGCTAGACGACCAAGAAATTTCCATACCTTCACTTGGAGAACAGCCGTTTTTGCGGCAAATGGCCGTGTCACAGGAGCTTCCTCCTTGGGCCAACATGTCCTAGCCTGAGACCAAACGCGCCTGCAGGCGAAAGGAGCAGGTGAGCAGGGCCATTCTGGGATTTAAAGTCAGACATCAGATCTGCAGGATTTTCCTAAGTTCACTGCTGTTGTCCTGCCCCATCAACTGGGACGACTCGAGCGGGTGGACGATTCATTCGGTGCTTCCTGAGGGTGCAAGTCATGCAGGATGTCCTCAGTGGGCAGCCGTCGGGGGCCCTTAAGACTTGAGTTCGGGTCACGCTTTTGAGCCCCGTTCATAGCGTCTGGTCGCTCCTAGTAGTAAGGCCAGGAGCCCCGTTCGTAGCGTCCTGATGGTTAGGGGCTCCTCTCTTTCTTTGTGCCTTGGCCTTGGCCCAACAATAATGAACTTTGCTGATTGCTGATGGCTCCTTGTTGGGAAACACAGCTTGAACGCCATTCGGAATGGCCCATACTCACATCATTCCAGGGAATCGAGGTCGTGTCAGTTCTGCATCAATGCCTGTTATGAGGTGGCTCACCACACAAGGTTGCATCCAGAGGTATGCGCCAAGTTTGTCAACATATACATTTTGACCTTTGCTACAGCGAAGATAGACCAGTGCAAAAGAGCCTGTCCGTCGTCAGCAAGCTTGCTGAGCACCCCGAATTGAGACACTACTTCTATCAGCTAGCATTTTATCTCTTGTACTAGCGGCACTCAAACAAGCAGCTCAGACACCAATCTGACAATGACCAGCGACACCGGTTCTTCATCGAATCATTGGAACTTTAAACCAAAGGCTTAAAGATCGATGAGAAGCTGTAGAATTAGGGTCCGATGAAGACTTGCTCCCATGGTATGGGAATCCTTCTGAGATGCCCGCCTTCTTCGGAAGGCAAGGATGTGCACTTGGTCTCTTCCGCTTGTATGCTTTTGAGCCCATGTTTTGGTATAAATTCAGCTTTCGAATCATTTTTGAGGTCAGAAAACTTCTGGGCTCTTTGTACTTCGTTTTTTTGTTCTTTTTGAGGGAATTCACTGTTCTCTTTTGGGGTCACTTAAATAGACCCTTGGAGGCTTGGAGGGATGCAGGGATCCTCCCCCCCGTCACAGGAGCCTTCCATGGGTGGGCTTGCTGCTCTCAGCGAGGCCGGAGGGTTCGTGGATGGCGAGAAACGTCCTGTTTTCCCACCCCTTTTGCTGTGAAACCAGACATGAAGATGGGGGACACCGATCTGATTTGAAGCAGTTCATGGGTTCTTTATATACTTTCTCTTTGCCGAACAAGGCAGTGCAGGGTGCCGAAGGTGGGTGGGTATCCTCGAACCCAGTTGGTGAAGGAACACGAACTAAAGACAATAGAGACTATACATTTGATTTCCTTTCTCTTCTTGTTTCCTTGTAAGGAAATGTATCAGCATTTGCACTGCCTTCCTTCTTTTTTCTGCCGCGAGCCGAGGCCACTGCGCGTGGCGGGCCGTAGTTGCCAAGGCGAGCGCTGGGAAAGGCTCCATGGATCCTTGTTGGAAGCCTCGCGCAATGAGGACAGCGCAAGCCTCGTGCATGGGACAGGGTGTCGCCTTCAACACAGTCTTTTCAAAAGGACTGGCACAAATCAGCCGCGGCTGGTGGTGCACCACTAACCTTTAGTATTAGCATCCTGCATCCTGTCGCATTTTTGTTGAAACCTTGTCAGAAGTCTAAGTCACAGGTCTGGGTCTTGATCGATCAGTCTTGCCACCCGGAGGAGTTCTTGCGAGACTTCAGTCCTGCGATGTTTGAGCTGACACAGTATGAGATTTTTGCACCTTAGCTGCACAAAATGGACTCATGAACTGATGACAGTCTTTTTACTTCGAGTAAGGGGTCAAGGCAAGAATCAAGCCTTTAATCATATGCTCCGATGCATTGCTTTGACTCAGGAGTGGTTCAAAGCCAACTACCGTGACTGCGTGGAAGGGCTGCTGTCTATGGTTCTGTATTTGTCCTTGGTGATGGAAGAGCGTCGTGCCGCTCTGCCAGAATGCTCCAGAATGAGTTTTGCACATTGGCGACTACAAAGTCAAGGAGAAAGCCTGGTGGCCTGAGAACCTAATGACCTGGTTTTGGTTGAAGGCCGCAACTTCATGATCAACCAACAACCAGGTTTCCTCTGAACCCTTCATGGCCCGGAGCTTTTTGGTGCATGATGCATTCCCTTGAACCACCATCATCCTGTTGCATCCCCTTCCCTTATAGGGATCGGTTCTTTTTGGGCACGTCGGTCTGTCACGAGGGAGCGCCGAGGCCTCACTCTTGGATCTGGCCAGCCGTGCGGCACGCGAGCTCAATCCTCTGGCGCTGCGCTCGGGGCAATCGTCCTGGCCCTTCTTCGGGCTTTTGGGGCAGCTACAGCTTCTTCGTCCAACGGGGGAATTTGGATGGCTAGCTGTGCAAAAAAAGGGGATGCATTTAGAGCCATCATTTGGTCTAGGGGTGGTTCATTGATGCTTTCTAACAGGGCACGGGTGGATTGTTGGGTAATCTGCTGCGGGTGTCACAAACCTGACATATGTTATATGCATGTGTATATATATATAATTATAACCTTTTCCCCTAATCTATGAGTGGGTGTGGAATGGAGGTTCCCTCATTTGGAGAAGTGCCCTCTGCCGAAGGTTTGAGAATTGGCTGTTTGTGTGACAGGGTTTCAGATCCCCAAACCAAAGAGAGGGTGACCTTGTGCCCCCCCCAAAAACCCAAGCCATGTAACATTCCTGAAGATGATACTCTGTTGATCTGTATTCGTTTGGAAGTCGCTCGCGCCGGTACCAAGGCTCGTCTGGCAAGGCGGTCAGCATGCTGCGCCGCTCTTGACCGATCCTTGGCGGCTTCCGCCGGGCAATTGTCCGAAGCCCTTGCCGCCCGTTCTGTCGCTGAGTTCAACAGAGACGTTTGCGTGTGCGCTTTTGACATGTTTGCGTACATGAGCGAGCTCCATGTTTGAGTCCAGAAAAACCAAGCGCTCCTCCAGGTGAATAACACATTTCAAGAAGACACCAAACGGGACGAAGCTTCATCCTAAGCGAGATTTTTTCCATCTGAGCTGTTCTGTTCTCTACTTCCTCGCTCATTGAATAGAGTCTTTTCCTAGGCTAAAGTTGCTCAGCCTCATTCTCACTGCCTGTCGCTCCAGTTTGCCCCCTCTACTTCACTCTTTGCTCTTGCCTGATTTTGCTCTGTTTACTCTACTCTCTGGGCTCTTTTTACAACACATTTCTTGTACACTCTTTTCTACGTCCCCTAACAATTCGTCTAATTTCGGCCCATATATGGAGTCATTCCTGCACTCCTTTTTGTTTTTTGTACCCTCTTGGTCCCCTGTTCTAGCCTTTGCGCTCCTTTTCTCTGCAAGGCTTTTCTTTCGCCTTCTTCTCTACTTTTTCCAAACCTTTTTCGCGCTCAAGCTCTATTTTCTGCGTTCTTGTTGGCTCAATGTCTATTTTCCACTCCCCTTCTTTTCTCTCCAAAGTTCGCTCATTCAACCTACCTTGGCTGCTCGCCGCGGTTGATCCTTTCCTCGCTTTCAAAGCTCCAGGGTCCATGTCATCCCCACCGACCTTGGTCGAGGCACTCGAAAACCTCCCCAAGACTTGCCGGGAAAGATTCCCCGAAGCCCCAAAGCTTCAACTCATTTCAACACACTCAACCATTTTCAGATATGGCGAATCAATGAGTCCTGAAGTATATAACAAGAAGCTCCTTTCACTCATATTAGGGTCTCTTTCAGTCCAGGCATCCATTTCGAAAGGGCGAGACTTTGGGCAACCTTGGTGCTGCCTGGGGTTGGTCGCAAGGCCGGTCACCGGAGTGAGTCTTCCATGAGTCTCGGTGCATCTCTTGAGCAACCCCTTCGAATCGGACAAACAGACAAAAGCTTCCAAGTTGGTTGGAACGTCCATGATTCTATGACTGATTCAGCCCGGCGTGGAAGGTAATCCAACTTGGAATCATTCACCATTTTGAGCATTGATTCTGCATTCAAGCACTTAACCGAGTTCTTTCATATAGTCGAACTTCAGTCTTTGAACAGGTCCTTCGCCTGTGGATGATTTTGCCAACAACTCCGCCCGTGCCTCAGCTTTGACGTGGCAATGGCTCAAAACTAAGACTAACAAAAACCTAGGACCCACAAGTTTAATGTAGATATAGAACGCTTTGCATCCATTCATCCTTGCAGCAGTGGGTTTGATCCAATTTTCAAATCACGAAGACTCCACATCCACACCAGTGGCGAGGTCTTGAGGCTCGCGCGGAACCTGAAGCCTGGCTCGCTTTTGATCGACGCAGGCCGTGGCTCGGGGATGAAGACTTTTTCCTCCAGCCGTGGGTTCAACATTTGGGCATCCTGGTTGACCACAGACAAGGCACAGAATGTGCCGGGGCTGGAAAAACCAATGGTGCTTTTCAGATAATAATGGGATGTTCCCATCCAGACAGTCTCCAGTTGGGCCTCCAGACAGTCTCCCACCATGACACACCAAAAAACACCGGACTCGCCATGACGAATCCACCGAAAAACCAGTCCAATACCCTTTTTGGGAACCACCCCACCCAGGTGTTGACTCCTGACCTCACCGTAGAGTTGACGACTCTGGGCTCGCTCTTCACACGTTCGTTACGTTTCAGTAGAAGGAAGGAAGTGACGCTCCAGAGGTGTCTTTGATGGAACGGATTGGTCCTTGATGGGCATCCTGGCGGGAGCCACCGTGCTGGGCTTCGAGCCCTTGGCCGAGAATCGGAAGCTCATCAGCGATCGCTTGCCCGTGCGGCTGGGGGAGCAGCGTCAGCATGGACGAGGAGAAGAAGCTCATACGTTTCTACAGATTGAGCCTGGAGAGTCAGTGTCTTCGTTTGGAAAAAGAGTTCTTCTTTTTGGGCTGTCATTATTTACTTTGGAGAGGTCGTCGATCACAAAAAAATGCCATTTTTGGCCGGAGGTGGTCCGTCAGAAAGGTACCACGTGAAGACTGGACAACCATATTTCGGCGCACAAGGCAGGCCAGAAACACTTGTTTGTGCAGGGAGTGATGACTCCAGAAGCAGTATAGAGTTGTAGTCATTTGCAGTGGATTTGTATGATCTGTTTTGGTTCTTTCCCAGTCGCAGCAGTGGTCACAGCTACATCATGGCTGCCGCTCTTGGGGAACGTGCTGCCTGGACGCAATCTTCTTGGCAATCTACTTGGAAGAAAGAAGTATTAGGGTCTTCATGGTGTGGACTGGCAAAGTGCTGAGGTGCGTTCGTTGAATATGACTACCAGATATGACTATAGCAGCATCTCAGATCAGGGATACCTCACTGGACCTCCAAATATGGAAGTCGAATCTTGGGCAGGAAAGAAGAGAGATGCGCGACACGGGCTTTGTTAACAGCAGTATTCAGTACTTCTAGATTTGTTGTGTGTGCATGTGTGTTTTGGCCTATGGAAAGCATTTTTCGGCGAACATACCAAGCTCATAGGTCATTCATAGGTCAAAAGGGACAAATAACTTGGAACTCCTTGAGCTGACCAGGAAGAAATTGCCATGACAACACTGGATGAGATTATCTATACATACTTGCCTTTTGATCATGTCGAGCTACTGAAGCTTGATGTGGAAGGTGAGGACAGAACCTTCCAAGCGTTTGGATTCTGGTTACAAATTGCTTTCCTTTTGCGCCTTGGCCAATCCCAACGCAGGCTATGAGATGGGCGCCTTGCGTGGTGCCGAAGGCTTGCTCGCGTCAGGCGCTGTGTCGGGACGGACATGGAAGCCACAGACCTCCGAATGGAAGGGTCTCTTTTCTTCAAAGCGGTGGGAGTAGGGTTGGTAGCATCGCCCGGACTTGTTTATTGTTTAAAGTATCTTTGTAAAAGAAACAGGTCTTCCATGGGCTGTTTTCCGATTCCAGTAAGTTGAAGTGGTACCGTCGAGGGAGAGAGACAGGTTGTCTTGGAGAATTTGGGTACCCATGGAATCCTGGAAACCAACTTATTCTATGGAAAACAAACCAGCAACCTGGCCAGGAGGGGCCCATTCATTGACATGTTCCCAGTGGCTGGCCGGGTATGCCAGAACTTGGAAGACTGCCAATGAAGGGTATTGCAGTATCATCTCTGGGAGAAAGCATTTTCGACGAATCTCCACCATCACTGAGAGGCGGCTCACCATCTATGTGAGGTTTTCGTCTACCTTTTCATTTTTCCATTTGCCAGTGGGTGACCGAATGCTACCGGCTTGTGGAAGTAGCGTGCCTGCTACCCGCCGCTTGACCGAACTGCGAAGCAGTCGCCAGGGCGCATCCGCTTCTTGGTGATGGAGTTCCACCCAGGCGACCCCCCCCCGGTCGACCGGGAACGTGGACCGGGTGACCGGTGGCGATCATGCCTTGGGGAACGCCGAAGGATTTGCTGCTTGAGGGGGCGATGAAGCTGGGTCAATGGGAAGGGTTCACGCCGGGTCTTGCTACACTTTCTGAACAGGCATGCTTGGAAGCAGCGGGACAGATCCAGAAGGACTGAAGTCAAGCGGTGGCAGAGTCGGAGTTTGGCGAAATCGAAGCACCCAGTTTCCAGGCCTTTTTCGAAGGAGGACGTTTGGGTTCCATGAGACGTCCCGTCCCGTCCCGTCGCGTCCGTCGCGCGGACCCGCGAGGACTCCTGCATTTCCTTCACCACTATTGCTTTCGTTGCCCAGCCGTGCAGGTGGTGTAACTGGGAAACCTTTGCAACTGCGGTGGACAACGGACGGAGATCTATTTTTTGTTTGAGACACAGTTGGTTGCCGCGCAAGACCAGGCCCACCTGAAAACTTGCTTTCAATGTCCGCCTTCAATATAGACTAGAGTTCATGATGACTTACAGGGAAACCTTATTCCCTTTGACAACATGGCCTTTTTTGACAACATACCTCTCTTGGATAGATTCCCATCAGGGATCGGTCCACGCCATGGCCGAACTTTTGAGGTTGCTTCTCCTTGAAGATCGAGCAAGCCCAGAGCTTCAGTCATTTCGTGGCGCGCTACGTCACGCCCGAAGCCACTCCCTTGCAGGGACTTGGCCAGCTGGAGGATTTGGTGTGCGAAAACTTGGCTTTCAAGTGAGGAGGTCGGTTGAGAACACACGGTCCTGCCGGACGGCTGGAGGGACGGCTTCGGCCGGAGTGGCGAGTCTTCCGGGGCTCGGGCTCGAAAAAAGACTGGACAGCGCTGGAGCAGCGATCCGTTTGCTGTGACGCGCAAACCCGCTCCAGCGACCAAATGAAAGACCCGAAATTGCTTCTTTAGATTCGATGCTTTCTGCCGTGCCTCGTTTCTTCCACGCTGCGCTTCTTTCGGTTTCGTGCGCTGGCGCCTCCGGAGCGCTAAAGAGGTAGCGCGGCTCGTGGGCTCCGAGGTGCTTCGAAAAAAGACGCACTGAGCGGCCGAAGAGGCCTTCACATGCTTCGGAGGATCAAAGCGGCACATGGAGGATCGGAGCTGTGGTTTTTGGTCGGCACAATGAAGAAAGTGAGAAAGGGTGACGTGGATACTTCAACGACCAGTTCTGATCCAAACCAGTTCTCCCGACCATAAAGAAAGCACCCGTTCGGTGGACTTCGCCGACGTGGACTGGACCGAACGACCGAACGACTGAGGTTTGACTCCGTGCTGCTGAACATGCGTGAACGACATGGCGACGCCTTCCGGATCTATGTGTGGCAGCACTCAGGGCCAGTGGTGGATAGATAGTCTGGTCTGGAAAGAACACCGATCCCAAAGTAAAGCATATTCTCTATATAATCAATGTTCATCACCTGAATGACTCCTAAGTTACCAAGCATCGAATGCGCATTCTAAGTTCACAATGGCTCTGTGGACTGGGATCATTCTGGGATTTTGGAAAGGTGAGGTTCTACAAATCCCTGAAATTCCAACAACCATTAATTCAGAGGTCTTTACCACACAACCATCGTTTGCTAAAGGATTCAGACTAATAAATGTCAACCTTTCTTGTACAGGTCTTTGATGGCTTGAGTTTGTTCATTCGCCAGCTGTGTCGCAACCGTTGATGCTGCGATGGTGCGGAAACACTTGTGAATGTGCCGCAACCAAAAATTTAAAGAGGGCACCAATCAAAACATCTGGAAACATATGAAGCTTCTATTTCTCTATGACACTTTTGATGTCACCCAACCCTTTCTTTGTATGGCAAAACACCAAACATGGTCTCTCAGGCCCAGCTTGTTTGGGGAGGTCATCGTGCTCATGGGGCACGGGGCCGAGATGACACGTGAGATCTGCACCAGCACGAAGCGCTGCTTTTTCGTAGCAAGAACCAGTGGTTCTTCATACTTGGTGGTTCTGCTCTTGGTCTGTTGGGTGAGCGGCTGACTGTCAATAAAAACATGGATCATGAAGCTGCTTTGCGGTTTGCAGGCTCAAGGCGAATCAGTTCGTGTTCACAGAGCAAGACAAGAATTTGGTCACGACCTGAGTTTCTTCCAAATATTTGGTGTCGCGTTTCGACATCATGCAGATTTTGGATCACAACTCGGTCTCCTTCTGAAATCCCGTGTGGGCGAAGTCTCCAGCTTTGAACCCTTCGTCCCGTTTCGTGGCTCGGGAACACGTTGCTCAGGACCAAGCACTTGGGGGAGTTGTTGGAACAGCTGTAAGTGGCAAGAAGACCATGGGCACCAAGGCATGGCAATTTCTTATTGAAACTGTGCACTGGGCAGAGTGTGGTGAAATGACAGAATAGTCTGAGGGTGTTGGCCTGTCTGCTGTAATGATATGTCCTTTGGACAGTAACTGAGAGGGCAATTCCGTGCTGACTGCAAAGTAATCAGCACGAGCACTGACCAGAGAGTTGTGACATGACAGAATGGTCTGAGGGTGTTGGCATGTCTGCTGTGATGATATGTCCTTTGGACAGTAACTGAGAGGGCAATTCCGTGCTGACTGCAAAGTAATCAGCACGAGCACTGAGCAGAGAGTTGTGACATGACAGAATGGTCTGAGGGTGTTGGCATGTCTGCTGTGATGATATGTCCTTTGGATCTGGAATTCCTGTACAGTGGTTTCAGAGTAGATGGCACAACCCCCTACATGTCCTTTAGATGGGGGTCCATGTAAACCACCTCTTGGGGTCTGTGCCTTCTACTCTCAATCCAAGAAGATACAGCTCAAGACGTGCTTGTTCAGGAGCGCAAGAGCACGGAATCTGGAAAGATCTTTGACAAGGCCTCTGCAGACTTCTTTGCCAACAAAAAAGCGCCGGAGCCTCTTCTGGGTGTGTTGTTATTGCGCAGAAAAAACACGTTTTGGAAGAGAACATTTGGCCATCCCCTTCAATCAATGTCCTTCAGTCCAAGCTGAGGTAGAAGAACAAATTAACAGCACACCAGGTTCAAAATGAATTGAACTTTGATGCTATCAGTTTTTTTTTCCTACAATCCTTTGTGTCTGATCCTTTGTGTCTGTCACGTGGTGTATGCTTCTCTTCAAGCAAGAGGTTTTCGACGAGCGCTGTCAGCCATTGTGCCATTTCTGCCGGTGCCCTCTGCACAAGTGGGCCACCATGACGTATTTTATGACTCTGTCACGTCAGGCGCATTTCACATAGGCATTTCACAGGAACACAAGGGCCACCAAACATCTGTCATAAAGCAAGCGCCAGCCGCTGGTGCTTTTGCCGCTGACCACTTCCCTGCTGGCGCTTGCTTTTGAAGAGGTTTTTGTCACATGTGGAATATTGTGGTCATGGGTCCTGGGTTGCAATGACGGAGGACATAGGCACAGACGTTTTTTTCATGATTCATCAATGAAACCGGCCATACTTGCACATGCAAGAAATGAAGAATGCAGGGAGTTCTGGAATCATGTACGGCACAATTTGCCAAAGTTCCAGTCCAATCACTCGGTGCATGAATAGGCAGCTGCAAGAGGCCAAAGAATGGAAGGTCTGGCGACCTGAGGAGAGTGAATTTGGTTTTTAGGCCATGTTCGAACACCGGATTCGGCCCATCCTTACCCTGAATGGCCAGAGGATGCGGTCGATGTTCCGTCTCTCACGACTGCGGTCAAAAACGTCACCAGCGTCGACGGACGCGGTGAGACCGGTGTGGTCTGTGGTCTGTCGCGAGGTCGTCACGGTGGTGTCGTGAGGTGGAGCGTCTTTGATGGCGAAGATCAGGTGATATACCATCCAAACCGGCAAAAGGACATCGTCATGGTATATGGTAATAACTAGTAGTATAATAAAGATAGTAACAATGATAACAACAACAATAATACATAACGCATCAAGTCGAACGAATTCGGAAAGGCCGCTGGAGGTTCCAATGGTGACCCTAGAGGAGTTGTGCACATGTCGATCAAAGTCATACTGAATCTGAGACGGGTGGCATTGGCGAAGCTCCTAGAGGATAAGAAGTGAGAAGAATTGAATGCAATCGAAGGTCGTTGAAAGGCCTCTCAGAGAATTAGTTTGGAAAATCCAAGGACAGGTCATTTATCCATCCTCTAGCGTGGATATTAGACGCAAGCTGATTGCGCAACTGCCTGGCCAAGGTTAGCACGGGCCACGCAGATCTTCGTAGACTCAGCAGAGGAGAACTTGGGAAGAAAGATTGTATCGAACATACCTCGAGCGAAGATTTGGAGAACTCAGATACCACGTCCAAAAAACCTGCAGAGCAACCCAACAACCTGGGCAAGCCAACTGGGAAAGGGGACACTTCCACCTCTGCAGAAATTCATCCAGAAATCCGAAGTCGCTTCAAGGACTTCTGCGATGAAATGGAGCGCGTGCTAAAGCTGTGGGCTCAGAGCTTTCCAGTGCCTTCTAGTTCTGAATTTGGTTCATCATAGGGCACTCAGCCAAAGTGGCAGGTCACAGCAAGCCAGGTGACACGAATTACTCCACCGTTTGAGATGTGAGGAGAACAGTCTCTTCATCAGCAGATTCAGGCAAGATGAGAATGTCTTTGAAAAGCTTTGGACGTATGTGGACCCGATCTCAGAGGGACACGTTTTTGGCCCGACAAAATTGTCAGCAGGATTCGTGGCGCACTTTCCCAAGAATGCACCTGTGGGTATAAACTTTGTCAGATATGGTGAGGCTTTACCTTCTTTGAAGCTGTTGGCATGTCTTGTTCAATGATGTTCCATTTTCTATGGAAGCCAATTGCGAGTCTCAGGTGCAGACGAATGCGGACATGTTGTACGGCAACGGCGAAAATGCACGGCCGCAAGTTGATTGGGTCCAGGATTTCTTTTGAGCAACGTCCGCAGTTGAGGCTGGCAGCATTGTGTGCAATACAATCGACAGCATCAACAAGGACTGGACATATGCACAATAGTGTTGACATATGTTGACCTTTGATAAAAGAACACATATAAAATCATATAAGATGTTTCACAGCCAGATTTCTATGAATCAGCAGTCAACGTTCTATTTTCTGGCATGTTTGGAGATCCTTGGCATTCGCAAGGAGGGGCTCTTTTCCCCTCAAGTGCGACAAGCAGGTGAGGATCTGAGAAAAGTCCTGAACGAGAGATACGAGGCCGTCCGCACTGGACTGCATGAGCTTGTGGCCATAGAAGTGGATCAACTGGTACGAATAAATCCAGTTTGTTGGATTAAGACCTCCTAAAAACTTCATGGAAACTCCTCCTGCTCCATGTCGTTTCGAACGCCTGCCGCTCCAGTGCCTCAAGAACCATCCCGCCAGGACCGCAAGAACCATCCGGCCACGCGCCCGGTCGACCACCGCGACGGAGAGAGACGGAGCGGAGCGCTGAGCTGTTCTCTCCGCCCAAGGAGAAGTACCTCGGAGAAGACTCGCTGTTTGAGGAGTTCTTCGTTCTTTCCAAAGGCGGGATGGGTTGACTCACGGTTTGAGGGTTTTGGGGCTGAAAGTGGCGAAGCAGATCCAAAGATGGTGAACAATTGTATTTTAGATACCTTTTGGCGAACAGATACCTTCTGGATCGTTTTAGATTGCCTTCTGGATCGTTTTAGATTGCGCCGGGTATGGTCCTCCCCTTCTCCCACGGTCCTGCCGGCCGAACTTGGGTCCGATCCACTCGGTTCCACGGACCCAGGTGAGGCAGACGACGAGATGCTTCAAGGCGCAGACGACGACGAGACCAGTCGTCGTCGTCGTCGTCGTCTGCGAAGTTTTTTACCGCTACGACTGGGGCGACCCTGGCCTTACGAACGGAGCATTCCTTGCTACGTTCGGAGCGGCATCGCGAACCGAACGGAGCGATCGGATGCTACGAACGGGCTGGGCCGGGACCCCCGCCCCGGTGTTCATCCCGTGCTCCGCGCTGATGATGGGCGGTAGGGCGGCACAACAGTGAGTCTGTCAGAATCACTATTTGTTGAATGGATTGACAATCTGGATGGCATCAAACAGGAGAAACTCGCAGGTGGTATGGTCCCTTCATTCCATCAGGGGGGTATGGGATGGCATCCCACTTTTGAGCCACAGCCAGATGGTCAGGCCAACGTCGGAATTTCCTGCTCGTCCAATCCCATGTCATTCAGCGTGAAATACCATTGCTCATGTACAACATATTGGTGCCACCCTACCGAAGTCCTGTCCGAAGATTTGGTACAGAAGCCATTGGCTTCGCCATGCCTCACGGCCGTGGCCGCACAAAAACCCGACGTGGCCGCAGGTCTGCAACAGTTCATGCTGACCCTGCAGCTAGCTGCCAATGGAAACCAGCTGGTAGGGTCCTTAGCAAGCTGTCAAATCTCAACGCATTCCGCGGCTCTGCCATGCTCTGCCTATCCTGCACTGAATTGGTAAAGAAAGATGCAAGAGGTGCTAGCGCTCCAAAATGACGCATGTGCATGTTCCTCCTGCTCTTACATGGTTTTCATGACTATTTCCACCCTGAGGGCACCTCGTCAAACACGACAGGTGACCATCCGCTGGCTCATGTCCCATGTCTACGGTGACCCGGCCATCCTGGCGGGCGTCCGGGCAGAAGTGGAGGAGCTCTTGGCCAAGAAGGCGTGGATCGGTGCTGAGCAGGATCGGCCGTGCAGGATAGGCGCCCAGTTTCAAGAATCTGCAGAGCATTCGACCTCTCATTCTCTGGGGTTTGGTGTTTTTGTGCCATAAAGCCACAGGCTGAGACGGGCGGAAAATAGTCGGGGCGGCCATTTTTCTTCAACTCGCTGGCGGCCAGACCGGCGGGTGTTCGAGACATTCGTGAGGCTTGCGGCATTCGTGACTTGAAGCTGGACGATCTCTTGAGTCTCAACTTGCCGGGCGGCCGAGTCCAACGCACCGAGTCCAAGCGAACACGTAGCCGGACGGCGACGCGACGGCGGGCGGGAGCCAGGACGAATGCTTGCATCACCGAAGCGGTCCGCTTGCATAGAAGCTTGGGCAGCAAGATCGACACGTCACATGTCCAAATAAAGGTTGGAAGAGAACATGAGATTTGGGTCTATATTATATATATATAAAAATGCAGTTGCAGTTCAACCTCTTCTGGCGAAGCAATTCATGGCCGAGCAAGCTGGCAGCTGTGCTTGAACTCAGGCGATATTCCTTCGAAGCTTACGCTTAGATCAGCTGCGCCCCCTGTGGTGTCAACTTTTGCTGTGGCTCTTTGGTAGTTCGTGGTGCAATGACTATAGTGACTCGAGACTCAGCAAATTGCCTCTGAGCCGAGACAGCCATACCCAGGCCGAGATACCCATGGAATTTGGAGGCTACAAGATTCCTCAGGGGGTCGTAGCCTTGGTCATTTGTCTATTTTTCGAGCATATTTCTTCACGGGCACTTGCGGCACATGTTCGATGGTCCGAGATCTATGTTTTCCCTTGGTTTTTCATCTATGTATCTCCGAGCTATACTTTTTCTTCTGCTTGACCCGAGTGAATGTGAGGGATCAAGAGACCTGTGCCGTGCCATGAGCTATTCTTTGTGCTCAGCGTCTGTCCTGTGGTTGATAGACTGGGAGAAAAGAATGTCAACGATCCGCTTTTCGCTCCGAACGATGCGCAGAAGGGAGCGGACTCCGCGTCCGCCTCTTCACGAGGCCACCATCTTCTTGTACGCGGATGCCGTTCACAAGGAGGGGCGGTGGGGAGAAGCGTTTGACCCGCTTCTTCCGCGGGGAAGCTTTGATCGGACGAGCGGAGTTGTCAATTGACTGGGAGAGCCCTTCCATCAGCGAAGAGTTTCCACCATCCGCTGATGGCGGCAGGATGAGAAGTACTTCCCGGATGCTGCAGCCTTCTGTCCTCATCGATATACCGATCCTAAGGTGTGATGAAACTCTGCTTGGGCTTGGTGACGTAGGGTCATAAAAGAAAAGCCTGATGCAGCAGATTGGTGTGCCCTGTATGGGGACCACGGCAAACACCATATAACTAGAAGTGGACTTGTCCCCATTGGGGAGCCCAAGACATGCAGCGCACAGAGCGGTGTGAGGCGACATGTTCATTGTCCTTGTGCTGCCTTGCAAAGATGAATGGCTCATGGTTCTGCAGGTCTTCAATCAGAAGATGATGGACAGAGAATTCGTCACTTTTGGCCATGGCCGGAAAAGATGCACTGGCGAGTTGCAAGGGGCCCCAGTACTGCACAGTGAAGGGTGTGTCAAGATCTTGGTGTGTATTTCAATAGGGAGACAGGAAGACCCCCGGGCCCTGGCTGGGCAGACTCGCACTGGCGACCCCACCGGCGACTTCGTCGGACGATTTCTCGTCGTGACGGAGGCATGCCAGATCGCAAATCTCGGCGCTTCTGGCTTCCTTTGTGATGCGCTCCTTGGGCTGTCAATGTGCTTTTTGTGGGTGTCACCCAAAAAGAGGTTCTTTGGAGGAAGGGTTACAATGTTGTGCCAATTCTTGTTTTGGAGAGAGCATCCGGCAACATCCTCCCAAAACTGAAAGAATTCGATAGAGAAGCTCCCAAGCGGTGCGAAACTGTGCTTTCTGTTCAACTGATCCAAACATCGACCAGCATAGCTGCGAGGCTTTGACATGGACCTGGTCACCAGCGCGGAAGGCAACAAGATCCCAGAGGAGCGGAGATCAACCAAGAGACCATGTAAGTATATGTATATATATATATTGTTCTATATATTGTTTATTCTTGGAAGGGAAGTAGCCTCCCCCTCATGTAATTCGGGTGACCCCAAACAGAGATCTTCCACTTGATCTCATCACTTGATCTTAAAGATGAGTCGATGAGTCGATGGTCCTTTCCAGGATCACGATGGCCCTTTCGTCTTCGACACCGCCAATACCCTGAAGCTGGTGAACTTGCGACCGAGAGCAGGTGGAACGGCGCCGTCCCGGTGCAGCGCACCGAAGCGGGGGACGTCCGCCGCAGGTGACGTGAGTGGCTCCAAGACGGCGGTTCCATCGGTGGCCACAGCAGCTTTGAGCGGACTCCGCTGGGAATCTCAGGGGGCTGGCGTTCCTGGGTTTCCTGGAAGGAGCCATGAAGCAGCGAGGAAGGAACTCGGAACCGAAAGGGAGAAGATTCCTTGGATCCACGGAATCCGAAGCTTTCACCTCTTTAGGTCTGTGAACATTGAGTACTTCAACCTGAAACGAGCCAAGCAACCAGAGGAGCAGCGCGAGCAGCGGACTGAGGCCAGCCTCCCAGCGCATCGTCCGGATCCTGTCCCTTCAGCAGCTTGGGCGTCCTCATCCTCGCGTCATGGGTTCCCCGCGTTTTCGGTTGGGTCATCGAGGCGTCCGGGATCTAGGCGCCCCTCACTGGGATGGGGATGGAGGTGGAGCGAGAGCGAGCGACGGGATGACAGCGAGCGACCCGGAAGCGGGAGTGGCGAGGGACGAAGAACTGGAGTGGCGAAGATGAGAACGGCCTGTGAGTCAGTCATCTTTATTTCATGCTCAAGGGATCTTAAAGCGTTTTCAAGGTTTCCCTTGAAAAGGACGAGTGGCCCAAAGGCCCAAAGCGCTGGTTTCCCACGTCTCTCTTTTTGTCCCGTGGCCGACAGCCACATGTCTTTTCCTGTTTCTTTCCTAATCTTTTCCTGTTGCATTCGGGGTTCTAGCCTCGTGCTGGCTTGTCTCGACCATGAGAAATCTCGGCCATATCACTGAGGTGGTCTCTTTGGAAGCAAATCGTGAAGCGATCATCTTTTTTAGAGCTCTAGTGGTTTGGCCGGTGTTGACCGGTAAAGAGATCTGCACATCAAGAGACATCGCTTGACGAGAGTGGTGCAAAGTGCTTGCGAAAAAGGTCCCTACCGGGGCAAATGCACACAGAGAATGGGTTGAGGTGGCTAGGTGTATATGACAAGCCAGACTGTGGAAGCGTCTGACGGTGGGATGGTTTCAACTGGAGACAGTCAATTTCCGAAAAGGGTTTCGTGTCGTTGACCACCTCACGTCTCCAAAAAGTGCCAATGATATAGCCAGAGTGCTGATGTACGAAGAACTGCACTCCGTCCTCACGAGCTGCACTCCATTGTTTGCAGAAGAGAGGGGTCCTCTACCCGGTGCAGTCTTTGTGGCCTTTGTTTGTACCTCGAAAAGTGAACTGAGACGTTTGGAGTGCAGTCTTTGTTCCCTGGAGTTGGAAGGGCCAAGGCCAAGGGCGGTGGCTTGCTACTTAGAACCGACCAAAGCGACCCCACAACTTCATATTGCATATGAGCTCAAAGGGCCTCTTCTGTACAAACGCCTCGAAACAGACAAGACAATCCCTGCTGCGCCACAGCAGAGCTTCACCGGACAATTCCAACAAAACACTTCCGCATGGAAGAGGAACTGTTGCAATTGATCCATCAGATCCCAGAATTCAAGTACTTCCAGGCAACAAGAAGTCTCTTCGACTGCAATTGGAGACCTTTCGCATTGTCCTCAGACATTTGTAGAATCCTTCTCAGGAATCAATATCATTCCAAGATACAAAAAACAAGGCGCACGTAGTCCTGAACGATTGGGATTTGAACGACAAATATGTGCAGGTATTCATTGACCAATAATTCCTCTGCCAAGAGAAACCACACACGCAGTTCTAATAACCAAAAACGAAACCAAAAAGGCACCCGCAGAAAAACCAGCTCACAGGCCTCGGCCTTGGCCAGTTGGACTCCTCCGGACCCCCACGGGAATTCCCCACCGCTTAGGAGCCGGGTCTCTGGCGCCTCGTTCGGTCCGGCGGAGGGCAGAACCGGACAGTTCGGTCCCCGTGTTGCCGTTGCGGCTCAAAGCACAGCGCTTTGCAGCTCAAAGCACAGCTCGGCTGTTGGCTGTTGGCGGGGCTGCCTCCTTCCGTTTGATCAGCCCATCGCTTTTCACTCTTTGAGCCCGAAAGTGAGATCAGTGTTCACCAGTGAGACCGAAGAACGGCGGCATTACAGAGAGAACGGCAAAGGCATTTGGGTGTTTGTGAAAGTGAGATCGGCCAGTATATCAGAAGCAGACTTCATCTACGGCGGCTTTTCAATCGGGGACCCTCCCTAACCAACATCCAGTTCTGGTAGGTCCTTTTTCATGTTTTCCCTTCGCTTGCTGCCCCGATGGCAGCATGTGGCGAGATCAAGGCTCTTTGGCCGGAAACATGGTGGGACCTCATCCGTTAAAGAAAAGGCATTCCGCGAACTTTGGGGCCTCCATGCCTGCCAAAACAACGGTGGCTTGTGTTAGCTCTGAGAGGCTTTGAGCCTGCAACATGAGACAAACTTCCTTGGCAACAACAGACCGAATGGGGGAAATCCTGATTGTGAGACACGCTCGTCAGGATTACAAACAAACTGCCAGGGTTTCTTAGGTGCTGAAAGGTGTTCCAACAAATGCCCCTAAAGGATGTTTCTTGGATTCACACTGATTTGTGTCGTATATGTGTTTGCAGACAGGCAAATCAACAGATAAATCAACATTATATATCGCACCGGCAGATTTCACCGCACCGTGTCAGAAGTGCCAGGTGCCGCAGCAGCTGTTCGAGACCGACCGGACGTGCCGGGCCATGGGGCCATGGGCTAGACCTCTCGAGGTATCGGCCGACTGGTGTTGGCTTGAGGCCGACCGGTGTTGGAACAAAAGACTCAAAGGAGAGAAGCTGCAGGTGATGTGCTTCGTTGGAACACAAAAAGGGGGTGGAAATTCTTTCCGTTCAGCTGGTCGTTGGATGCCAACACTCGTGGTTTCCAACATACAACCATTGACGAGGTCGGCCACAGGCGATCATATTCAAGATTGTAGTATTTTCGTACAAACTATGGTTGATAGTGATATTGAATATCCAGCTTCAGATTATGAGACATGTATTGCATTATGAGACATGTAATGGTCCTCAATACATAATTTATATTTATGTCAAATTAATGATACAACAAGTTGGAGGTTCAGTACGTTCATTTCAATAGTTTTGGCCATGTGACGGTGTGTGGAGCAAAAACGAAACGAAGGAAGACCCTTACGACGAAGACTCGTGTGTTCTGATGTTTGCTGACGAGGCGTCGAAACTCAAGCAAGAATCTGGGAATATTCAGACTTCGACCTGCCGCATCCTCTTCTTCCTATTCTTCCCACTGTCCTGCTGAAAAGGACCAAGTTTTATCCTTGAGACCTGAACTAGAACCAGACCTCCGTGAGGTTGGTCTTTCTATCTTGAAGATCCGGGACCCCTCCCCTGGCGGCCACCGGCCGTCAGGCTGGGAGCTGACCTGCGGCGGCTGTCGGACGTGGCGAAGCCGCGGAGTTCGGTACTAGCGCAGACCGCGGCCGGGCTGGGGGTCTTCTTGGGCTTTGATGCTGCGGTACGCTGGCTCATCGATACGTCCGAGATGAAGACACTACCTTCCCAGATTTGTAGCATCTTGGTGCAATGAGCCAACTTACTTTTCGTGACCTCTGGGAAAAGTGCCGTGATCATCTCAGGTATGCTCAGCGCATTTGGTGGGCTTTCCCTTGCCCAAGTGATTGCTCCAAGCAGCACGACAATGTTGCACCAGGCCTTGCTACCAGCGGTGGCTTGGGTTGGCCGGTGGTTGCCGGTGTTTCTCGTGCCGGTGCAAGTGATGCTGCCCACAATCAACTTTCCAGGCCAGATGTGTGTGACGTGTGTTGTGTTCAACGAGACAGCACTGGATTTCTTTGTTCGTTTGCGCTGCGCATGGATTTAACATCGTTTTCCTTTTTCACCTGAATATTTGCATGCGGACCTTTTGGGGCAGATGGGGTAGACTTTGTAGAAGATGATTCTTCTCGAATCCAAGCTTGCAGAACCCATCCCATGCAGGTGGACTGGCGGAAGCCGGCGGACTGGCCATTCTCTTAGGGGCTGGCTGGTTTGGCGCCGTCGTTCTTGGGGCCCGCCTGGTCGGCGTGCTCTCCCACCAAGCCATCACAGCACCTGCTGCTGGCGGCCGAAGCGCCGTGAAGATGGGTTTGTGGCTGCCCTTGGGTTGGCTGTTGCTGGCGGCCTTGGTGGCACCTGCTGGGGTGAAGCCCGAAGTGATGGAAGCGCTGGTGGTCGGCGGCGGCGACGAAGAGATGGCTCGAAGTCTACGGGGTTTGAGCTTGGCCTCGGTGGGGGTGGGCAGCTTCGCCCTGGCCATGCGACAGGCAGGGGCAAGGGCCGGCGGGATCACACGGTCGACGCAAATACACCGGTGAACAAATCAAAGGGAAAGAAAGAATCGCAAACTCTCTCTATTTGGCAAACTCTTTGTTTCTTTCTTGGGTTCTACCGAGTTCTACCTTCCTTTTTCATTTGTTTCAGGGTTCCTTGGTGTTTTCACCGACTCAGGGCTTGCCTGGCCATCTCTGCTTCTTGGCCAACGGAGCCGCCACCATTGCCGTGGCCGCCGCCATGGCCTTTGCGCGGAACGAGAGCTACAGCCAGGTGGTGAAGCGCGCCTCGGTGGTGTTCCGCGCGGAGTTGGGGTGGAGTCTGCGCACCCAAACCGGAGCGGTGACCCCTCTAATTCTTGCTTCTGGCTTTACCTGACAAGACTCGGTGCCTGAAATCGAGAAGTTCTGAACATCACCTGCTCAAGACTTGCTGAACGTTGCACCGCTCCTCAACGTTTCAGCCCCGCTTTTCCTCGGGTTTTCAGCCCCTTTGAAGCGCCGCGTGCGGCGCGTGGGCTGACGAGCCCGCGTGGTGCCGTGAGGTGACTATTTGGTTGGTGCCAATGGACCGCCCGGTTCAGGGGACCGATTACTGTGGTGTTCCTTGACCTGTTACGTCAAGGTGAAGTATGACGGGTCGAGTGAAGCATCCGTTGGGCATTTGTAGATGTTCCTCCAAATCCTTATTTAAGCCATACCTTGGGACCTTGCGTTTGACTATGATTTAACATGATTTAACATGCAGTTGGTCGAAAGCGTAGTGAAAAGCAGTCATCCACCGGATTTCAGTAAAGAACAGCTTAGCATGAACAATAGGTTCCAGTGGGCCGAAGGAGATGGCTCTTGTGAACTTTTCTGCCGGGATGAGCAGGATAGTCTCCCGCCCAACATGGTGGGAGTTGGGACAGGAGCAGCACAGGTCCATTTCAGGATTCCTCTCCTCACCTTTGAGGTTTGGGACCTGCTTTGGTGGCCACTGGAGTGCAGATGTTTCAATATCGCCCAAACCTTAGGGTTTGCTGTTATTTGCTTGTGAGACATGCACAAGCAGTGGAGCGAAACTGACACTCTCTTTTTCCCCCACATGGTTGTTTTCTGCACCCGCCGTCTTCCCGTCACTCCGTCTCCTGCCCCCTCCCTCTACCACTCACCTGACACCACACATTAACTCCTCTCTCACCACTCATCTCACACGTCTCACACGTCTCACACGTCTCACACCAGTACTCAGAGCTTCCCGGCGGACTTGCTGCGCGCTTGGGTCGCCGGTTGCCGGAGGCTTGTCACGTGGCTTGTCACGGAGGCCGGCGCAGTACTCGGAGCCTCCCGCGGCCGACCTGTTGCGCGCTTCGTTTGCGCGCTTGGTCGGGGTGGCCGCCGGACGGCTGCTGCGTGGCAGGCGCACTCTCACTCTCTCACTCTCTCACTCTCTCACTCTTTCACTCACACCCACACTCACTCTCACTATCTCTCACTCACACTCACTCTCACACTCACACTCACATTCACACGCGCACTCACTCTCACTCTCACTCTCACACTCACACTGATTTTACTCTCACTCTCACCCTCTCACTCTCTGACCCTCTCACCCTCACTCACGGTGCGAGTGCGAGTGCGAGTGCGAGTGCGAGTGCGAGTGCGAGTGAGAGTGGGTGAGAGTGAGAGTGACAGTGTGAGAGCGAGAGCG